TATCCTGTGCATGCCACGAGGCCATTCTTTCAAAGGCAGTCTTGCAGCATGTGACTTCCCTGTCCCAAAGGTGCAGTGACTAGTCCCAGTCTACACTACTGAACCCAAGTTCCAAGGCCTGGTGGGGAAGACTCTCCCAGCTCTGCCCCCACCCCACCCCCCCGTAGGAACAGCCGTGCTCCCTGGGGCTGAGATACCACCTCCTCTGACCCTGCTGTTGATTCCTCCAGGACACCTTAGCAACAGTTCACCTGATTTAGGAGCAGTTCACACTGCCGCCTCGGCCAGAGAGGACTCTTAGAGGCTAGGGACCAGGTCAAAGCCATCTCTGCCCCTGCACTGGGTCTGGTTCCACAGGCCTGGTGGCTGCTCAGGAAATGTCAGCAGCCTCCTTCTTGGTCAAAAATGGCTCTTTTGCTTTGGAATTTCAATGTGAGAACACGTAGGTCAGTAGTTTTGGCTCATTAAAAGTACTTTGCTGTGTGCAGGAGTGTTCATAGGAACTTTGTTTCTCGTGTTTGAGGATAAGGTTTTTAAAAAGTAAAATCGGGGCGCCTGGGTGGCTCAGTTGGTTAAGCATCTGCCTTCGGCTCAGGTCATGATCCTGGGGTCCTGGGATGGAGCTCCGTGTCAGGATCCCTGCTCAGCAGGGAGTCTGTTTCTCCCTCTCCCTGTGCTCTCTCTCTTGCTTGCTCTCTCTCAAGTAAATAAATAAAATCTTAAAAAAAAATCATGACCCTTATGCAAATATAAAATAAACATGTATCAAAGAGTTTACTTAACTTGTTAATTAAATGAGGGAACAGGTAAGATGTTACAATCAGTTCAAAGGAGAATCCAAAGGCCAGACACATTTATAGACCAGAAATACTGAAATAAATTTGCGAATGGAGGCAAAACTGACTTTTCCACTGTGGGGGAGGGTTGTCCTTAGATAAGAACCATTTGCACTGCTATCTGTTTTCTGCAACTTACGGAGTTGTAAAAGAGCTCGAAGACAATAAAAGGCTCAGAGCCCCGACAAAATCAGAACCAGATAACCTAGAAGGGCATGTTCCAAGGACGCATAGCTCTCCATTGGAGAATCCAGGAATCTTTTTGGCGTCTTGCAATTCTCCTTCCACTAACAGCTCACAACTGGAGACAACCCAAATGCCCATCAGTAGGAAAATGGGTAAAGTATGGCATGGTAAATTTATACAATGGAACACTTATATCATAACCAAAATATGATTAATTTTGCATGCCACAGATGCATGCCACAATACAGATGAATCTTACTGACCTAATGTTGACTGAAAGAAGGCAGAAAGAATACAGGTTTCCCCTGCAATCTGAAAGTAAAATGTTTCTATGAAATCTTTCACACACTGAAATGGCACAAAGCAAAGAAGCAATTACCATTTACATGAAAAACATTTTTGCGTGCTCCCAGACCCCTAAAATAACCTCTTAGGCTTTTCTTCCACCTTAGGACACATCTTGCTAACAGATGCACAAAATAAGCTGAGATAAAGCAGAAATGCTCACACAGTTCAAGCCTGTGGCAGCTTGCTGCTGGGATGCTGAGCGTATTCCCCGTGGTGGGAGTTTGGCAATACCACTCTTGCTGCTCAGTGTGCCCACCTCCTCTGTAACTGCTGGTCGCAAAACAAAGAACGCTATTGTTGCTTTTCACCTTTTTTCATAAAAGCCAAAATCCTCTTTGCATTTCCTTAGGTTAGCAAAAGCAGATAATGATGTATGTCTTTTGTAAATGCGAAGTGGCATTATGCAAACTTTCAAAAAGCAGGGGATACCTGGGTGCCTGGGCAGCTCAGTCGGTTAAGCGCCTGCCTTCAGCTCAGGTCATGATCCCAGGGTCCTGGGATAGAGCCCTGCGTCGGGCTCCCTGCTCAGCGGAGTTTGCTTCTTTCTTTCTCTCTCCCTCTGCCTCTCCCCTTTTCATGCTTGCACACACACACTCTGTCTCTCTCAAATAAATAAATAATATCTTAAAAAAAATAAAAAGCAGGGGATATCCATACAAACTTGTAGTAGACTGATTAATGGCCCCCAAAGCTATGAGGTACTAAACCCTGGAACCTGTAAATGTTACCTTATTTGGAAAAAGGGTCTTTGCAGATATGATAAATAAGGATTTATTGGGGTTTATCCTGGATTATCCGGATGGATCCTAAATGCTGTCACAAGTGTCTTCATAGGAAAGGATCAGAGGGAGATTCACACACACATACACACACACACACACACACACACACACACGAGAAGGCCATAGACAGAGGCACAGATGGGAGTGATGCAGCCATAAGCAAAGGATCACCAAGGAATGCAGGCAGCCAGCAGATGTTAGAAGCAGGCAATGGATTCTCCCCTGGAGAATTTGGAGGAAGCTCAGAGCCACTAATGCCTTAAGGTCTGATTTCTAGCCTCCTTATTTATGAGATAATACATTTCTGTTGTTTTAAGGCACCAAGGTTGTGGTAATCTGTTACAGCAGCTCTAGAAAACCAATACAGTATGATTCCATTTATTGAAAAGCTCAAAATCAGTCCATATTAATCCTGAGTTAGTTGTCAGAATGGTGGTTAACTTTGATAAAGATGCAGTGATGAGGAGTTTGTAATGGGAGACTGCTAAAGTTCTTTTATTTAACCTTCACTTTTTGACATTTCATTGAGTTGCACATTTATTTCATGTCCTTTAATATAAAAAGGTATCCACCTGGGTGGCTCAGTCAGTTAAGCATCTGCCTTTGGCTCAGGTCATGATCTCAGGGTCCTGGGATGGATCCCCTGGTCCAGCTCCCTGCTCAGCAGGGCGTCTGCTTCTCTCTCTCCCTTTGACCACCCCCTCCCCGCTCGTCCGCTCTCTCTCTCTCAAATGAATAAATAAGAAATCTTTTTTTAAAAAGTATGTTTGAACAGCATGTGTGGCTTGTCAGTGTAAGTGGGGGTGATGGCAGGTCCCTGGAACCAGACAGTTTTCTTCTGTTTCTGCCATTTGCTGGCTTGGGCAAGTGACATAACCTCTTTGAGCCTCAATTTTGTCTTTTATACAGTTCTTAGAGGGCTGTTGTGAGGACTTAAGTCATGTTGAGCCCTTTCTGAACTGTGAATGCCCAAACAAAAGCAACATTAATGTCCTTCACATTTACCAGGCATTTCCTGGGTGCTGAGCATAGTGCTAGATCTTCATCATGCATTATCCCATTTATTTCCCTACAACAACCCATAACAGCACCCATTTTGTAGAGTAAAAAAACAGAAACGCAAAGACAGACAGCTAGTAAGTGATGAAACCAGGATGCAAACTCAGGCTGTCTGGTTGTGAGGACCATCACCTTAGTCCTACACTAAGGTTGAATGATTATCTCCAGAGTATTAAAACATTACCTATTCTGGTTTTAAAAAGGAAAATATAGGTCAGCATGTGTAGTAGCCTACCATTTATGTTAAAAAAAAAAGAGAAGCAGAAGAACTTATCTGTTTATTTTGCATATTTGTTTATATTCATAAAGTATCTCTAGAAGGATATCAAGAAACTGAATACAGTTAGTTGCATTTGGGAAGAGGAACTATAGGAATGGATGCCTTCTGAAATAAAATTAAAACAAAATTATAAGGAATTATATGAACAACCTCATGCCAGTGATTTTGAAAACATCAGTATACAGCCAGTTTCCTGCAAAAATATAGCTTAGCAAAGATGATACAGGGAGAAGTAGAAGTTCTGTTTTGGGGTGTCTGGTTGGCTCAGCCAGTAGAGCATGTGACTCCTGATCTCAGGGTAATGAGTTCAAGCCCCACCACGTTGGGCATAGAGCCTACTCAAAAAAAAAAAAAACTATCTAAATCTAGAACCATTAAAGAAATGGAATGCTTAGTTTAAAATCTGCATCCTATCCCCTCAAAAGTCTCAAAGCAGACAAAACCAAAGAAAAACACCAGGCCTGGATAATTTTATAGGCAACTTCAGCAAACATTGAAAAGAAAAATCCTCTTATAACATAATCTTCCAGGGCGCCTGGGTGGCTCAGTTGGTTAAGCGACTGCCTTCGGCTCAGGTCATGATCCTGGAGTCCCGCATTGGGCTCCCTGCTCAGCAGGGAGTCTGCTTCTCCCTCTGACCCTCTTCCCTCTGGTGCTCTCTCTCTCTCATTCTCTCCCTCTCAAATAAATAAAATCTTTAAACAAAAAACATAATCTTCCAGATAAAGAAGAAAACAGAAGTCTCCTTAACTCATTGTGATTTGATTATAAATTTAATCCCAAACCAGACATCAACAGTACAAGAAAGTAAAAGGAAAGGCCAAAATCACTTATGGACATATATGCAAAAATGCTAAATAAAATATTAGCGAATAGTCCAGCAATGTATTAAAAATTTATCAATTCCAATTTTTCTTTTTTTCTGGGAAATTAAGATGATGTAATAAAAATGTATTAACGTAGTTCAAACTAAGGAAAAAACCTGAATGACAACTGTGACCTAACAGAACTTCCTTAACTTGATGAAGGATATTTAGCCTCCTGTTTTTGATGGATCACTTATTTAGTGTCTGTGTTCCCTGCCGCACAGGGCGCGCCAGGAGGGCAGGGCTTGCGTGTTTTTACCACCACTGTCTAGCTCGTCGCCCACCACCGTCTTTGGCACACTGTAAATACGTGCTGCATGAAAGGTGGACCTTTGGCTGAGGTCACGTTTTGGAAAGAGGAAGCTCTACACTCATCACCCCGCCCCGTCGAACACAGCATTCAGGAGCACCCGCCGTCCGCAGCTCCAGCGCAAACCCCGACGCGTCCATACAGGCTGCTGGAACCTCTTTTTTGTGGCTGGCCGGGGGACAGGCCGCCTGCGCTACCCAGAGATGGGAGGGACGCGAGCGGAGTGGGCGGGGCGGTAGGCGCCTGCGCGGCGGCGGGATGTAGGCGGGGCCTTGCGGCGCCTGCGCAATCAGTGGCGGCTGTGTGGGGCGGGACAGGGGCGGGCCGAGGGCGGGGGCCGCGAAGGAGGCAGGGCGGGCCGGGCGAACGGCGCCGCGGGGTTGGCTGCTGCCCTGAGGCCGGACTCAACGGATTCGGGCCGCGCCACCGGGCGAGCTCGCCGCCCGGCCCCATCCCGGAGCCAGCGAGCGAGCGAGGCGGCGCCGCGCGGTAAGAGCCAGGGCCGGGTCCCCTCAGCGTGCGCTGGCGGGCCTGTCCATCTTCTCAGCGCCGCCCGCGCGGCCAGGCCCAGGCGGCCCCGCAGACCCCAGCGGGCCCGCGCTTGCGCCGTCCCCCGCCGGGCCCCCTCCGCCAGCCCGTCCCGCGCCTGCGCCGTCCCCCTCCGCCGACCCCTGGGTCTGCCGGCCGCTCCTTGCTGGCGTTACGGCCCAGGTGGTTGTGGGCCCCCTCGCCTGGTGGTCCTTTTTAGCCAAGGGGCTGAGCGTGACCCTCGCGCTTTGCTTTCCCCGCGCCCCAGAAGAGGCTGGGGCCGGCGCCCCATAGCCCTGGCCCCTTGGTCCCCTTCCCCCGGCGGAGACATCGCTGCCCGGGGCTCCAAGGACGCGGCTCGGGGAGCAGGGCCGCGGGCGGGGGACCCCGGGCCTCCTGCGGGCTCTGCTTCCGCCGGGGCACGCGCCCCCACCCTCGCCCCGCGCAGAAGGGAGGTCATCATTAAGGGAGCGGAATGTCGTTTTTTTCTTGAGACCTGGTTAATTGCATCAGGTTGGATATGAATAATGTGTTTTGTTGAGGGAATTTTGCATTTCCCTCAATCTGGTAATTGTGTGGCATAAGTGGTTATATTTTAAGACGACATAGTTCTTTGTTGGGCACCTCTCCTGGAGATGACTAGAAAATAAATTAGTTTCCACGTAGTTTCAGCCTATTTACAAGACCAAGTAAGAATTCCTGTGATCATTCAAATGTAGAGAGCTTTGATTTGTTGATGCCCTTGATAATTTGCCGGCAAGTACGGGAGGGTCCAGGAAAAATTCCCATAAATTCGCTGCCCTGTATTGATTACAGGGAAAAATGTGTTGTAAAAAGAGCATCTGAAGCCATTGATAATGTTTTCTAAGTTTGTTGCAACAGATTCAGGAAACTAAAAAATGTTGTAGAGCCCAACAGCGTTTGCTGTCAGTCAGGAGGATGTATCTTGAGATGAAATCAGAGCTTTGTAGACATCAGCAGACATCAGCATAACACGTGTAGGTTTTGAAATAGTCAAATCAATACCGACAGGTATATCTGTAAGGAGAAGTAGGGTATTGATTTGGGGAAAGTCTTTTTCGGTAAAGAAATAGCTAACTCATCCAGTTATTTTTTTTTTCCTCTTTAAAAAATGTCTTCTTTCCCTCTATGATTTACTCTACACCAAGAGTCTTTAAAGACTCAGCAACTTTAGGTAGCTGAGAATGTTTCTTAATAGCCTGCGTATACTCTAGGTATGTAGGGATTTTCTTGACATTCATTTTCAGTAAAAAAGTGAATATTGTGCCATAGAAAAGCTTTAAACTTGAATTTTTAGTGTGTGTATCTACATTGTGTTGTCTTGAGATGGGATGTCTGTGAAGCAGAGGTTCTCTTTATAACCGATTTGACACAGTACATCTTCAATTTCACATGACTCAGCTAATAGTATTGCTTCTGTTCGAAATTACTACCAGGGTTGGGTTTTCATAATACATAAGACTTGCCATGTAACCATATACATATTTATTTTTAATTTTTAAAGATGTATTTATTTGAGAGCTCGCATGGGTGTGTGCGCATGCCCACGAGTGGGGGAGGGGCAGAGGGAGAAGATCTCAAGCTGACTCTGCACTGAGCATGGAGTGGGCCTCCATCCCAGGACCCTGAGATCACGACCCCAGCCAGAATCAAGAGTGGGATGCCCAACCGACTGAACCCCCCAGGTTCCTCAAACCACATGGTGCCCATAAATCACATGGCTAACTTGTACTTAAATTACGCAGACTGTCCAGCTTGGTAGAGGACTGGTGACAGGGTATCAGCAGGCTAGAGTTACTCTCTTGGTTTTATGGCTTTGGGCAAATCGGTTTTCCTTTCTGGACCTTTCTTTCCCTATCTGTAAAGTGTGGGGGGTGGGGGAGGAGGGAAGAGATGAAAACAAGCTCCAGTTAACACTTAATGAATCCTTGTCTACAGAGTCCTCTTCCGTTTATAGTAGAACTGGGTCTTCTCATCAGTTTCATGACATTGTTTGTGGTCCCTCCGCAAAGACAGGGAGTGAGGCCATCATAAAACTGGTGAGAACAAATCTGGGAGACTCTTGGTCAGACCCCTGACAGGTAGTGTTGAATGGGCCTCAGTGTATACAGAAAAACAAGGACAATGTGAGGGAGTTTTTCATTAAACTAAATTTATTCAATGAAAGGACTGCCCTTTGTAAAAAAAAAAAGATATGTCATTTTCTTGGTGTTGAAATTAAGAATCTTTTTTGAAATGATGTTGATAGTAAATGGTGGTATATGGTGATTGTAAACGGCAAATACAAGGTTGGTTATCTTACCACAATAAGATATTTTTAGAAATAAAGAGAGCCTAAAATCTTTGTTTTGCTATTGTCATTAGGGAGTTTAGGAAAAAGTTCCTGGGGCTTTTGGTGCTAAGAAGACTAAAATACAGATTTTTTTTTTTAAAGATTTTATTTATTTATTTGACATAGACACAGGGAGAGAGGAAACACAAGCAAGGGGAGTGAGAGAGGGAGAAGCAGGCTTCCCGCTGATCAGGGAGCCCGATGTGGGGCGATCCCAGGACCCTGGGACCATGACCTGAGCCGAAGGCAGACGCTTAATGACTGAGCCACCCAGGCACCCCTAGGTTATTTTTTAAGAGTAAATATGAGTTGACTTTGTGGCCATCTGTCCAAATCCACAGGCAAGTGGGAAAATTGGTTAAATTTGCTTGGTTTTAAAGATGTTACTATTTGGATTATTCTTTCCTACTGGATATAAAATGTCAGGATATTTTTTTGTGTGTGCTTGTGCCAACAAAATAAGCCTAGGCAGGGAAATTCCTCCTGGTGGTTGGAATTGTTATTGGTGAATAGACTAGCTGCTGAGGTAAAGAACCCCCATGGGGTTTCTCTCTCAGCTCAGAAATCTTTTAGTATTGTGGCCTCAGTCCTTTGCTGTGCAACAACATGACCATCGAGAAATTAGGCTTACAGACTGTATTTCAGATATGCTGAGGGGAAGAAGTGGCAATGGTTTGTTCCAAAGTGAATATAGCAGGTGATCTTTGTGTCTGTGAAGTCTTTAAAATTCATCCTGGTCTGCTGTTAATAACATAAGATTTAAAGTTACTGTAAATCTTTTTTTTTTTAAAGATTTTATTTATCTATTTGGCAGAGAGATACAGAGAGAGAACAAGTAGGCAGAGAGGCAGGCAGAGGGAGAGGGAGAAGCAGGCTCCCCGCCGAGCAGGGAGCCCGATGCGGGGCTCAGTCCCGGGACCCTGGGATTATGACCCGAGCCGAAGGCAGCCGCCCCGTAAATCTTTTTTTTTTTTTTGTACTCACAAAACTATAATATATCAAAATATATCAAACACATTTTAAAAGTGTCTTGAGTTAAAATGAATAATGCAGTCTAATTCTTTGTAATACTAATTTCTGTACTTAGAGGACTGACTGATCTCAGCTACCTCTAAGTTCTCAATTTTCAAAGAATAATTGGGTAACTCCCAAAAGGAAATTTGTCTACTAGAAAAGAGTGCAGATCTGTTAACAGTGTTTTTCCCACATCGTTAGTGTAGTTCTTTTCTGCTTAAATCCAGAGGTTTGCTCCTGCCTCTGTCTTTCCAAAATATATCTGTTGATAGTCACCCCACATCCCCACCACCAATTTTAAGTCCTTCAATGGCTCCCACTGTCTTCATAATCAGATTTACTAATCCTTATCTTGGTATCCAGGATGCTTCATCACTGGGCTCTGGCCTCCATTCTCATCCCCCCACCCCCCTTTTTTGGTGCTTCACTGAGTTTTGCTGAACCCCTCTTGGTCCTTTAACTCTCTCCAGTCTCCATGTCTCCTTCTGCTGGAATGTTCTTCCCTCACTTCATCCCATTATCACCTTCCTACTCAGCTTAGATATTACCTTGCCTTGAAGGCATCCCTTGACCTATCTCCTGCATACTTGTCCAGCTCCTTGTCTAGTGAGGATTTGGTGCCCTGTGTTTTGTCTGTTCCCTCCATTAGCCAGTGATGTCACAGTGCGTAACAGAGTGTGTGGTTTGACCAAAGGTTGTTAATCTGTTGGGTGCATCATGTGCTAGGCATGTCAGCACCACCAAGGAAGTAGAAGTCACCTTAAGTCCTTGCCCATAAGAGTTTTACTCCAGGTGTGCTTGACCTCTCCAGCTGTGAGACACCTCCCAGTTGTACACACCAATTTGCAAACTCAAATCTTATTTCTTGAAGGAGGAACTGTCTCTCATACGTGTTTTATAAACCAGAAACCAGGTGAGCATTATCTTTGTTCCCAGCTCTGGAAGGAATATGCATTTGTTCTGTATTGCTTCCCTCATTCCCCTTGGATACCTTCCACCTTCGGTTTTTTGTTTTTGTTTTAATTTGATGTGTTTGGACAGTAAAAGTAATATCTTTGTTAAGAAAGATATTAAAAATTGCAAGTTTGTCTATTGTGCATACAGCCTAGGGAGAACAAATGATAAAGGGCAGGATACCCTTAGAGGTAGCTGAGATCAGTCAGTCCTCTAAGTACAGAAATTAGTAGCATTAAGAGCATTTGACTCTTGATCTCGGGGTTGTGAGTTTGAGCCCCATGTTGGGTGTAGAGATTACTTAAAAATAAAATCTTTTTCTTTTTTCTTTTCATCATTTTTTTTAAAGATTTTATTTATTTGAGAGCGAGAGAGAGAGCATGAGAGGGGAGAGGGTCAGAGGGAGAAGCAGACTCCCCGCTGAGCAGGGAGCCCGATGTGGGACCCAATCCCGGGACTCCAGGATAATGACCTGAGCCGAAGGCAGTCGCCCAACCAACTGAGCCACCCAGGCGCCCTCTTTTCTTTTTTTAAAGACTTGTTTATTTTCGAGAGGAGCTCTTGTGTGCACCTGTAGGCATGTGAGTGGGATGAGGGGCAGAGGGAGAGAATTCTCAAGCAGACCCCCACTGAACATGGA